TATTACTATTTATTCATTTGGCATTTTCTTTTACCTTTTCATTCTGTTTGTTTGAAATAGGAAAAGAACCCATTCAATTTCATTTTAGAATCCATGTTACAAACATTTATTGTAATAAGAATGACTAACACTGTATGGGTATTTTGATGAGGTCAAATTTGGGTTTGTGTACTTAACCATTGCTCCATGCCAGAGCCTCTGCCATCAAACAGTCCTATACCATAGTTTCTACAGCACAAAATTAGTTGTCTCACATTATATATATATATATATATATATATATGTGTGTGTGTGTGTGTGTGTGTGTGTTTATATATTTATATGTTGCAAAAAAATTAAAAAATGAGTGCATGAGAAAATATCTTTTGAGGAATTCAAAATCAAAAGTGAGTCACTACAAGAATTTTGATTGGGTAGTGGGAGGAAGCGGCCTCAACCTCAAAACCTTTTGGTTTTGTTTTGAGTAGTGCATGGTACTGCCCAGATTTTTTAAAATTTCTGTCCAGCTGTTAACACTGCTATTAACTCTATTTTTTTTATTATTTTTTATCATTGTCCTTAAGAGTACATCTTGATTTGCATGAATATGCTCCCCCTCCTCCTCACAAAGTGATCATATTTCATTATGAAAGATCTTTGTGTGACAAATTCATAATAATTAAAAGTATAAAATTGGTGCAAAATATTTGGGCTTGTGGATGAGAAGGAGTATGGTAAAAAGTGATCACAAAAATAACAATAACAGTAATAATAACAATACAAAGCAGTGGAGGGAATGCTTTTTCTACTACCACTCCATGGCTTTATGCAACTATCCCATGATAGTTAACAGTATGTTTGCATTGCTGGACGTGGAATTGGAAGGAAAATTGAGGTGAGGTGGTCTCCTTCATGTGTGTGTGGGGGGGGGGGGGGGGTGGCTGTCCTGCATGAAGCCTGACATTTTTGGAACCCACATGTCTTGTAAGACACTGAATTGAAGTGATAATACTTCACTTCCCCTCATCAATCAATGAATTCCCTTCCTTGCTTTACATATCCATGTATTCATTCAATTCTCAATCTTTACGTATATATATATATATATATATATTGGTTTGAGTGGAGTGGTGTTTAAGTCAGAGAGTTTGAGTTAGAACATAAAGTGGGTCTTATTTTAATGTTATATTTTGATCATGTATTGAATTATTTTCATTTTAAAATTTTAATACCAACTCCTTGTCTACCTTTGTTATAATGAAAATAAGCTGTTACCCTGGACTGAACTTTCAATTACATGTAGGAAGGTATATATATATATATATATATATATATTCATAGATGTGTGTGTAAGTCTAATGTTGGAATTTGTTCATTATGTGAAGAATGGCAACCTGTATATTAAAATCACTATGCCTCCATCAAATTGATTTTGTTCAAATTCAATGATATAGCAGAATGGAAAATGAAAAAGATAAAAGACAGAGGAGTTTTAGATTCTTTTAAAATTCATAAAGTGATCATAGAATTTAATTACTTATTTTTTTGCTTTTTTCCTTGTTTTGAGTTGATTAGATAAATGCTTAAACGTACCAATGGAAGTGTGACATCATACCACTTCACATAGAAAATGTGTGGTATAAGGGGTGATGTGGCATTGGAATGCCTTATGGAACTCAAGGGGGTGAATGGGGTCACACATCCACTGCTTCACAAATACCAAAGAGGACCACTCCATTCCTACACACTAAAATGGTGATTTACCTTCAATGGATTCTTCTTCTTCTTCTTCTTCTTCTTTAGTAATACTATTTTGGATCTTAAATGTAGAATTTGCTCATGTTGTAGTTCAACATGTAGAAAGTGTAAACAGAAGATCATGCTTTTGAAATTTAAGCATGATTGAACAATAAGAACCTCAACAAACAAATTAAAAATGCCAGGATGTGAAACTCTATAACTAAACCCTGATGTGATTAAGTAGGATCATTTTATATTTATTTATTTATTTATTTATTTATTTATGTTTGTTTTAACTCTGATTTGTCTGTACAGAGTTCAAACGCAGCATCAAAAGTTGATCTATATACATATACATATACATATGTATGTATATATACACCCACATATACGTATGTTTGGAGGGTGGCACAGAAAGCATTCATCCATTAGGTCAGACCCTTCGTTCTTTGCTCGTTTTCCTAGAATTGTAACACAAAAAAACTGCTCATTCAATGACAGTTCAAAAATTAGAAGGAGAAGCCTCCAGGCATTTTTTTGTGAACAAAAGTGTCCTTAGAATTGATCCAATCTATCACAGTTGGGCATTCTAAACATAGTCCAACAAGAGCTATTCTGGCCAAATGTGCATTAGCTGGGAGCCGTTTTCAGCCGCCGAAGGCTTCACTTAATTTGGCTCATTACTTTTGGCAGTTAATCTTATGCCCAGTCCATGTCCTGGGCGAAGCTGCTGAAGGGCATCTCAGGGGGTGTGGATGGGTTGTGACTGTGTTTCTGTGCCCATAGCTGGCTCCTAAATAGTAGTTTTACCCACTTTAGCCCCTCCCACTCCTATAGCCTCAATTGGCTTCTATGACAATTTGGCAAGCTTTTTGAGCTTCCAGAACTATGTTGTTATTTTTAATGCCCACTTTTTGGTCCACACATTCTTTGCTTTCAAACGAAACTGAATATATCAATTACATGGTGGTTGTTGTGGAATGAGGAGGCTACGAACTATCTAATGCATCCAGTGCCCTGTCTTTAATGCTCTTAGAAATGAGTGACTAGAGTTCTGTTGAATCATTAACTCCCTCTTCTAATTTTGTGCTTGTACACACAAACATATATTTGTGCATATAAGAAGAGGTTTTATGGAAATATAATTTGAGTCAAGCTTGGTGGGTATGCCTTTTGTTTGTTAATTAGTTTGTTTTATTTTTAGAATAATTAAACATCATTTATGAAAGATGGGAGACTGTTGGTTAAAATAGTTTCTTTTCAAAACCTTATAGTATTCAAAAAAAACTCAAGCATGGGCAGTCACTGGTGCTTTTGTTTTAAGATATCAAAATTACAACAGGTAATGTGTTTGAAAGATAGAAAGGATATTATATAGTTCATACAAATGGAAAGCATAGTACTGATTATTTATATTTTATTCCTAACAAATAAACTTAGGTCATTTATTGTCTTTTACCATTTGAAAATGGAGTACTTTACTACTTACTGTTGTTTTTATGTTTTTTTTGTGTTTTTTGTATTTTTTGTGAAGACGTATAACATTATTATATTCTAAACTTGATTTAGATTCACTTACAATTTTTTTATGTGTACGTTGATTACATATAAGTAATACCATTCTATAATGTCGAACCAATTTAAATTATTCATACTTGTTAAATTTTACTCATACAACAGTAATTACATTTTTTTTAAAACAATTTAAGAGTGTTATATAAGTAAACAACAAAGAACACATAAACTTTACTTTTTAAAAAGATTAAAGAATTTTTCAAAATAATCAGACTGAATTACTTGACTATCAAACGTTGATATGTTTTAATTTGTATCAAAATTTTACGCCCTTCTGTTTTTTTTGTAATTTTAAACTCAATGAACAACCTCTGCAAGTCATGTACATATTCTCTTGTTTTAAGGTCTGAATATCACTATCAGGCAACTTATTAGAATAAAGTATTTGTTTCCAAAACTACAAAAAAATCATGTGTATACTATTTATTTACAGTACAAAGATGGATTAGTTTAAACTCATCATCATTGTGATTAGACTCAGCTAACATGATTTGGTAAACACATTTGGATTATACCTCCATATAGTCAAGTACACATGTGTATGTATACATGCATGTTTTTGTTCAAAAAATAAATGACTGTAAATGATATAAAATGACTGAAAAAACACAAAATTACTTTCTAAAGTTGATTTCAAACCCAAAATGTATCATTTATAATGTTTGACCTTAGTGAATGTACACTATGCAATGTAATAAAATCTTGCTTAACACATGTCTATTCTTCTACAATAGAATTTGTTAATTCTAGTTGCTGACAATACATTTTTTAACACTAGTAGCAATTACATCTGAAGTTAAGAACCTGTTTCTACTATGAAATTAAGTTCATTAAATTTAGATTGATGTTTATTGATTTTCAAAACCATCTAAATTTCTTGTCACTCAGAAAGGACAGGAAGTTTTACAATTGCTTTAGAGACACATGCAAATAAGTGTCAATGTGTATTTAGTGTGGATGTGAAATCTTCCATATTCTATGCACTGGGTGCACATCAAACTGTCCACATTGCAAAATATTGATCGACTGTTCATCTACATCCATAAAACATCACAGTTTCCAAAACCAAATCCAATTACTTTCAAAAGTTGCTTACATTGTCAACAATTAACATAGCCTGTGATGAATAAAAGGGATCAGCATATTGTCATGCAAAAGGATAACAACAACAACAACAACAACAATACACAACCAATAGAAGAAAATAAAAAACTGTCAAAACTATCATGTTCTTTAGCATTGGTGATTGTGCCACCAACCCCTGATCAAGTTCTATAGCACACAAATGGCAAATCAAGAGTGTTAGTGCAAGCCATGGGTTCACATTGATTTCATGATAATAATTATCATCTCCCAAACTCCTCAACAACTCAAATGCCACAGGGCCATGCTTTTGTTGTTTCCTGCACCGCCATTTTGTTTTCCTTATCTTGCTTGTCTCCTCATTGCTTGTGAGGGTCATTCACACAAACATGCATTTCAATTCCAGATTCCCACGACTTCTCACTTTCTCTAACTGTTTCATCACCACATTCCCCCCCCCCCTCTCCCCCCCCCCCCACACACACAAATTGTCTACCACCACAGCTGTTTAACCTTGTTCCAGACTCATTAATACCCTCTTCTACTATTACACACAGTGTACAATGTTGCTTTCAGAGCCCAAGTGGGAACGACATGTCCTCTGATAGATCCCATTCCTTTAAATGTCAAGTACTGTACAGTTAGTTATATGAGCATTGGGGACCAGATTCTATAGGGTGGGTTTCTACTCCAAAGCATTCAATTTTTTGTTTTTTATTTTTTTTATTTTACTCTAGAGTAGTAGGAGTGGTAGAGTGGTAGTGAGACAGTGAACATGAGTATGTGTGAGTGTTTCAACTTCGATAGCCTGCCTAATCAAGATGAATTTCCTTCTCTTTCATCTTTTTCAATTCTTCATGACTAGTGATCCTTAATCCTTCATCCTTCCTAATTTGGGGTTTAAAAAACGATTTGTTATTATTATTATCATTATTTTTTTGGTAGACGGATTTTAGTACACGAACAAATCTCAATACACGAGCCTGTACAAGCCAACGTACGTAGTTGAGAACTTTAAAGGGAGTTCCCACCTCACCTTCAGCCTTCAACCCCTCCAGTTCCCCGCTTCTTCTGTGATGTGTTGTTGAGTTGTGCTGTTTCAGTGGCTGAGGACCCCGCTTTCTCCACTTCGCTGAACATTCTCTTTGCTAGTTTCTCGCATGTTCCAATCGATACCCGAAGAAGTTGTTGCTGGAAGGAGCATCTTCTCTCTGGCCGCCACCCGTGAATTATCCTTAAGTGCTAGCCAAGTGTTGCACTTTTTGTAACGTAGCTTTTGAGAGTGTGTGCATCTGTGTGTCTTTTGTTTGTTAGAGCTTTGCTAAGGTTTTAGCTAGATTTTTGGTTTGTTCCTGTCGGCAGTTTTGCTTGTACCTCGAACGATATTCTTATCTACATGCCTGGTGGACCGAAGAATGTTGCACTGAGTGGACTTTGAGTGTTAGTCTTTACTCCCTCGAGGGCTGGAACTCTAGTGTTCGGTGTTCTTGGTTGGTGTGCTGCAAGTATAGCTCAGGGGTTTAGGTTTTTCTACAATATCTTAAGTTTTTTTGGGGGCACAGAAATTCCTTACCTGGATTTCCCGCCCCCGACAGTTTGGATCGTCGGCCCTCCTTTTTGTAGGGGCTGGAGATTTCTGAAACTGCTGCGAGGTTTCATTGGAGTCTACTCGCGGACAGCTTATTTGTACTGGGAATCGTCTGTATTTGAAGTTTTTTTTTCGATACAGGTGGAGGGTCTTGAAACAGGCTACCTAGAGTCTCATGTTACTACCCTTTACTCATCCATGATTCTATTGTTTTAGAATCTACGTAGGCGCTCGCTTTTGGATTCCAGTGACTGTTTACATCAAGACATCCTTTATCTTTCCTAAATGGATTCAACCACGTGTGAAGTAGGAGGATTGTGGCTGTTTGCTTTGCCTATGCTCGCCAAACAAGGGAGATCTTCTTTGGAAGAGGCTTTGGGATGCACAAACTTCAGCAGCATTCTTTGTATTGTGGGTGTGATAAGTGCTTGTGCCCTGTTGGTGTGCTGGGCTTCGCCTGGCGGCTCCTCGTGGGGCCGCTTGAGATGTGTGAAAACCATCCCAGGGCCCCGAGGGTTTCCTGTCATCGGTTCACTGTTGGAGATGGGAGGACTGGCCCACAGGCGCCTTGCTCAACTTGCTGTAACGTACAAAGCTACAGCATTGATGGCGTTGAGCTTAGGAGAAACGCGTGTGGTGATTGCTAGCCAACCGGATACCGCGCGCGAGATTCTACATAGTACGGCATTCGCAGATCGACCCCTGAAGCAGTCAGCCCAGCAGCTCTTGTTCGGGCGCGCTATTGGGTTTGCTCCTTACGGAGGTTATTGGCGTAACTTAAGACGAATTGCGGCTAATCATTTGTTCGCTCCCAAGCGGATTGCAGCTCATGGGAAGACGCGTCTCGATGAGTTAGCCCTCATGCTCAATGCCATCCAGAGAGAAGTTGAGACTACAGGTCACGTGCTCATTCGACCGCACTTGCAGAGAGCCTCTCTCAACAATATCATGGGCAGTGTGTTTGGGCGTAGGTATGACTTCGTCTTGGGTTCTGAGGAGGCGAATGAGTTAGGGGCCCTTGTAAAAGAAGGATTTGAACTACTGGGTGCGTTCAATTTGGCCGATCACCTGCCAGTTTTGAAGTGTCTCGACGCCCAGAATATTCTCCAGAGGTGCGCGGCTCTTGTTCCTCGAGTCACAGCGTTTGTGAAGAAGATCATTGATGAACACCGGCAGAGGAGGGATGTACGTGCTACCACTGGAGAGAGCTATGAGGAGGACTTCGTGGATGTCTTGCTCGGTCTCACCGGGGAGGAGAAGCTGTCCGAGGAAGACATGATCGCCGTGCTTTGGGTAGGTGTCATGACTTGCAACGTGCTGTATTCAAAAGAATTCCCACGCTGCAGTTATGCTGATGATTTCCATACGTCCTGATGGTTTGATGATTTATGGTTGCAGTTTGTTGATGAATATAAGCTCTACATATATGTTTTTATTGAATATTGGATTGCAATTGAATAGTGTTGTGATCATCTCGGCTTTCTCAGGAGATGATCTTCAGAGGGACTGATACTACTGCCATTCTCACGGAGTGGATCATGGCGGAAATGGTGCTGAACCCTGAAATTCAGTGCAATGTCCAACGCGAGCTCGACTCTGCTTTCAGAAAGAAGAATATCACCGATTTCACGTCATTGGAAAGCGAGTTGTCCAGGTTGCCCTACCTCCAGGCCGTGATTAAGGAAACCCTCCGACTTCACCCTCCTGGTCCGCTCCTCTCATGGGCCAGACTCTCCACCCAGGATGTTTGTATCGCTGGGCATCTAATCCCTAAACACACCACCGCAATGGTGAACATGTGGGCAATTACGCACGACCCGAAGTTGTGGGCTAACCCGAACGAATTCATTCCAGAGAGATTTCTTCCTTCACATGGCGGTCAGGACGTTGACGTTCGTGGAAACGACCTACGCCTGGCGCCTTTCGGCGCTGGCCGACGCGTCTGTCCGGGACGCGCGCTTGGATTGGCCACAGTGCAACTTTGGGTAGCACAGTTATTGTATAACTTCAAATGGACCGCAGTTCCAGGGTGCGATGTTGACCTCACCGAGATTTTGAAGTTGTCATCCGAGATGGTGAAGCCATTGCAATCTGTCGCTACTCGCCGCCTGGTAGATCCGTCAAGCTAGCGAGCATTGCAGCTAGGTAGAGGCAGGAATGCAGCACATCCTTGAGGCAGTATGAGATCGTGTTTCGAATTCAGGTTGAAATCGGATTTCAAGGCGATTTCAAGGCGAGAATTTAAACTTAACGAAGACCCACAATTCAAAAGCTAGTGAGTGTTTCGTGCGGAATTATAGATGCGGACGGAAGGATCCGACTATATACAATTTTGAGTAAGAGTATCGAGTGACACCAGTTTTGTATATTATGGTCGGCGCTGTGTAATGGAGGGAAGCGGTAATAGATTGCATTCATAAACCTTGAGTTTTTGAGATAAAAAATAGAGCTTTCCACAATTTTGGATCCTTTCATTGGGCAGTCGATCCTTACATGGTACATCATAACCTTCATTTTATGAATGCAACCTTCCGGCTTTACTTTTTTGAGTACTGTGTAAGCCGATAGCGATTAATACAAAAGCCCATTTCATTCGGTTATCTCATGATTTGTCCATTAGCTATACAAAATTGGGTGTCCCCTGCTTCTGTTCTCGCAGGCTCGTGACACTAGTACCACCGGCGTAATTACCCAAGGGTAACCTTTCCACATTTGTAATTAGTCTGCCTAAGAAAATACATATTTCCTATTTGCTGTTGTCTTTTACACTTGTAGCCACTAACCTGGTTGTAAAAAGTTCATACCTTCAATATAGCTTCCTGATTTAGCCAGATCTGTTCTAGCTTTTGCACGATGCGGCATGCGTTTTTATTAGCCAGAAATCCGAAATAGACGACGCAGCAGAAAAATTCTACCTCTAAGTCGAAGATGGACTGTTGTGAGCACACACACTATAGCCGGCGTTCACTTTTGCTATTCCTCCCACTCCTCAGTTCCCTTCTGTTTATTGACAGTTCTCCATAATGCCACTCGTAACGCTTTCTTATCCAAGTGTCTGACAGTATATTTAACGCTCAGTACCCGCCCCTTGATCAATCTCTCGTATGATCACAACCAGCCACGAGGTAATCAAGCCTGAAATGTTGGAAGTTCTCGTGGAGTGGGTAGAATTCACGTTGCAAAGGCCACGGCCTCGAGAGAAATTTGTGGCTAAAAGCTTGATGAACTAGATTTAACTCGTGACTTCGCCACGAGGACTGCTGTGGCTCGCACTGTATTCTCATACGGTTAAAATTAAGCCACCTGCTTGCGGCTGCGAGCTTTTTCTTTTCACTCGTGCTTCTGATGTTAACTGCTTCCTTCTGCTTCTGTTTCTTCTTCTCTTCTTCTTCTTCTTCTTTCTTCTGCTTTATTCTTCCTCTGCATCTTCCCCTCCTGCTCCGCCCTGGCCGTGTGCCCGGAACCCAAAAGCTCGTGGGCCCATCCCTGCCCCTCAGATCCATATCGAACAAGAAGCCGCCCTGTTGTAACAGAACCGCCCTTTACTGCGGAAAAATATGAGTGATATGCGAATGACACGAATAGTGGTGACAGTGGCTTGAGGTGGCAGTGGCTAGTTGCATTCCTCCCCATCCCCTCCTCAAGCATTGCCATTCAGGGAGTGGGAGAAACAATGGGGGCGAAAACTGCTTTTTTTTTTTTTTTTTATGCTTTCTTTTCAGAAAAACAAAATCCATTGTGAGCCTCACAAGAGCACCTACCCTTGATTCTCCACATGAATCTCCCCCCCCCCCTTTTTTTTTGCCCCTCTGTGGTGGCCATATGCTTAGCCTACACAAGCTTTGCCTTTTGAATCAGGTTCTCACATTTTATTTGTCACCTTGGAGTATGGTTTGTTTGTTCATTCATTGTGGGGAAATCGTGATAAACAGAGGAAGACAGTTGGAGTAGCATTGAAGTTTAGGAAATTGATCCCCAACCATTTGATTATTGTTTTGACTTTCGTAAGAAGTGAGACTATGTGAGCACATCAACACTTCGATGACAGGTACTATTGTGCTTGAGATCAAAAAAGTTGTGAATTAGTTGGTTTTAGGAACACATTTTCTATGCAAAAATAATTTGTGTTTATTTATAGATATATAGAAATGAAATTATTGAAGGATTGAGTGATTTGTGGGTGAGCTGTTATTGAAGCCATTACAATTATTATTTAAAAGATAATTTAAAGTTGTATATATTCCAATTACCAATCTTCTACATACCTCTAAAGCACACTTGATGAGTAGAAGATACAAATTTGTATAAAATAGTTGATACAATTAGAAATAATTAAGATGTATAAAAATGATGGTGATGAAGAAGAAGAACTATGATTAAGTAAAACATATGTTAGTAGAATTACAGCAAAAAATAATCATTCTCATAGTATTTGTTGCTTGATACTCAATCTACTGAGTAGGAATTTACATCTATAATCTGGAACCCATTCAACCTCCAATTAATCAAATAAAGATGGAACAAACATGCACAAGCATTGTTACATGTTTACATCTCTCTCTCTCTCTCTCTCTCTCTCTCTATATATATATATATATAGAATTGTCTCTTGAGAGAGAGAGAGAGGTTGGTGGTGGTGGTTGGCAAATTGGCAACAACTCCAAATGGGGCATAGGGACTGACATAGCAGCAGCAGCAGCAGGGGAAGAGGAAAAGGAAGAGAACAAGGAAGACGAGGGGGAGCAAAAAGACGAGGAAGACGCGGGGGAGCAAGAAGACGAGGAAGACGAGGAAGACGAGGAGGAGGAAGAGGGATCAGCATCATCATCCGTGCCAGGGATTTTGATGGATCCTTCCCTCCTGACAACCACTTTGTTGTTGTTGTTGTTGACCGTGGTACACCATCTCGCCCTCCCTTCCTCTTCTTCCCTTCATTGCTTTCCTTCCTTCCCCTTGTGTGCCAGGCTTTGTCGTTGCTTGATCAGATCTGCAACACACTCTGTGTCTGTCTGCCCCTGCACTCCCTTGCTTCTGCACCCATAATCTTATTTTATCTTATTTTTGTTCTGTGTTAATTTTTGCTTGGTTTTATTTGTTTTTATATTGAAAAAATATACTTACATATAAAAATAAATATGCTCTGACATTTTTTGATCAGTTTCGGCTGGCTGGCTGGATAGCAGGCTGTTCCTTGTGATAGATGTGTGCGCATTCTATTAGTAGTGGTTGTAGTATCTGCAGCAGTCCTTCCTTTATGAGGGATAGAGTGTGGAGTGGAGCACAGAAATTCAGAGCCAGTAGTTGAATTGCTGCTGATGCTGCTGCTATTACTGCCACAATTACTGCTCAAGGGCAGCACCATCATCTTCCTCATCATCATCATCCTGCTGCTGCTGTGCATTGCTCTCATCTGTCTGTCTGTTCAGACTCTGGTGATGAGGGGGGAGAAGGGGTGGGGGAAAAATGAAGGAAAAAATGAATATGTCCATGTGACTGAGTTCGTTTGTTTTGTTTTTTGTTTGTTTTCATTCAAGTGCCCTGGTGGATGTATGTCTGCTTGTCTCTGGAGGAGTGGAGGATTATGCCTGCTGTTCATTCCCCAAACAACATCAGCATGAGAGAATAAGAGAGTTGGACAGAAGTGGAAAATAAACACAAGTAAAGAAAAACAGGAAGAAGATAACAGGAAGCAGAAATAAAATGATTTCATAAGAGAGAGATAAAGAAACGTGGCTGAAGGCATGTGACTAGGATGCATTTTGTACAGAAATGCACATAAACACTTATGTGAATATAAAATTATGTTGTTGAGTATAAACTTGCTTTAATCAATTCAAAATTAATCTCTAACTTTCAAATCAAAACAATAAATTTTCACATCTGAAGAACAAAAAGTGAAAAAATAAAATAAAATCTATGAATTGTGTTCCACAAATTTCAAAATTGGAGTGGGTTGTGGCTTCAAGTAAGATAATACTCAATAAATGATAATTTTCACTCTTTGAATACAGAAGTTTCATATGCAGATATGGCTGCATGAAAATTAATTCATCTATTTAAAGTTTTAGTACAAGGTTGATCTTTGGATAATATTTTATTTTTAATTTTACTTTAATTCTTTAAAATAAAAAATAAAAAACATATGTCTTGGTTATGAATCACTTTAAAATTAGAAAATATATATTTATGCATGTATAAATATAAATATACACACACACAGGTCCTTTTTCAGTTTCTATTTAATCATGAAAGCAAAAGGTTCCTTTTCCACAAGAGCTTTGATATCAAATGCAAAGAATGTTGACATAAAACCATCCCCACTGGATGCCGTCTGAGGAAATAAATGAACACTTGGACCATAATCCAGAGGAATGTAGAATTGATGTTATCCTCACAATTTGAGAGTCACTAACAGTCCCATCTCATGGCCCTGAGGTCCAACACTTCCAAGCACTTCTTCACACACCCACATATAAGAAACAATCATTTATGCACCAACCTGTCTTAATAAATGCATTGGCTAAAAGAAGAAAATACATGGGGGGGGGGTCATTTAGGGCATCATTTTAACATCTTCTTTTTACAATCCATGCTATCCTTGCCAACGATGCATGCTATGCTTTGATACAAGCTCATCCACATGACACCATAGCTGATGATTAAATGGGCTTCATCAATTTTATTTACCCAACTATTTAATTGATTAATCTAGTTTGGAAGAAGAAGCAAACAACTATGATGTAGCCCCACCTGGCTAGTTCTTACTGTAGTGATGGGGTGGCTCCAATTTTTCTTTAATTACAAGTGTCACTGCAAAGGTAGTGATGGCATGGTGGGCTTTTTAAAAAATTATAGAAGCTACAAGGGTCTTCAAAGCACTGGAACAGCAGGGGGAAACAACTCCCACCAAGGCCTAGTGAATTCAACACATGGGAGCATAAATTGTTGCCCTTTTTTTATTTGCATCCAGCTCAGCAATAGGCCCTTCTAGACTCTTCCAGGAGGTGTAGTTAATAACTCCATATTGTCACCAATATTGGTTAGGGTGCCATCACTGCCTTATTGGGTGCCACATCAGATTAGGTCAGGGTTCTCTGAGATCTTCACTTGGCTTTCTAAAAACCATGAACTTGGGGGGGGGGGAGGGGGTAATGCAGGGCTTTTGTCAGGCTATGTTTTTGTGGGGGGTTCTGGAGGGGCCTGAGAAAGGGGGGCTGGTACCTGATCACTAGACCCATATGAATCATCTGAAGCATACAAGCTCCATGCTCTCACACATATTCAATCTTTTTGGCTGGCCTGGCCCTGATTTTATACAACAGCTTTTCTCTCACTGGCAACAAAAAAGCTCCAGAAGATTTCTGGGGATTTTGATTGTGCAGTTTGGTTTGATGTGATACCATCTTTCAGTGAGCTACTGCAAGTGTCTGGTGGGATTCATGAAGGCAAGAGGTCCATGAACAGTGCCAAGCATGTTCTAGAGATCTCTGACAGCTCATTCACTGCTTGTGTTGTTTCTTTTCCAAACATGTGCACAATTGTCCATACTTATATACTGTATTTCTGCCTTTATTGCTGATGGTAAACTATAGGAGGGATGTACCA